GCTCATGGGTGTTGCTCCGTTGTTGTTGCTGTTGTGTGACTGTGCAGGTCCCGACTGCTGGTGTTGCTCGTAGAAGGACATGAAGGAGAAGAACTTCTCCATCATGTTTTGGTCGAAGTTCGCAGGGTGATTTGCGGGAGTCTCAGTAGACGTCGTCCTTGGTCTCGTTCCCGTGCCCTCCTCTGTTTGCAGGCCAGAGGCAGGAGGTGGAGTAGGAGTAGTGCCTGGGGAGCCGTTAGAGGAGCTCCTTTCCTTGTTTGTTGCCATGTCTTGTAATGACTTGATAGTAGTGGAGTTTCCCCTGTTAGCTCTCATACCATGTCGGAAATAAGAAGTCGCTAGAGCGCAGCGGAAGCTCTAGGAATTAACGACGTCCCTACGGCGGGGCAATGGTCACTCAGAGGTAGCTCTCTTAGCTTGTAACTTGGTGCCAGAGCAGCGGCCGAGGGTAGGCCGGACACAAGCTTGGGAATTGTGTAATATGAGCAAGGCATTACATTCTGTTATATAGCAAACGCATAGGGCAAACAGTTACCAAGCCGCAACTGTATAACAGTTGCGCTGCGTCGCTTGGGTTGCCTTGTTACAGTCGCGCTGGCGAGACTTTTCAGCTTCGGCAAGGGCGCGGTATCCTGCCGCGCCCCGCAGGTCAGTTTCGCGTACTGTAGACGATGCCTCCTGCTGTCGATTCGATTCTTGAACTGCCACGCGGGTCGCAACCGCTGTGCTCGGTTGCGCCCCGTTGACTCGCCACCAGGTTCAAATCCCTCGCTATGGCGAGCCCCTGTAAGCACACTTCGAACAGTGCATTTATAACAAAAGCATACAAACATATTCTCAACACTCCCCTCCACTGTTAGAAGTGTAGAAACGAGGAGAGATGAAGCTCTCCCAGGTTGAAACGGTGATGTCTTTGCTGGTGAATTTGCCGGAACGCCTTGGAAGGCGTCTCGCCGAGTCGCTCGAAATGTTGCGTCGGCGGCACGTTGAAGAATTCCTCCACGTAATGATCCGTGGGAAGTTGCACGTTCGACCTACTCCAAGAGATGCTCCTGGTGATGATTCAGGTGGTGGGCCCATTTGTAGAAATTACCACAGGTTCCAAGGATTGGAACTCTTGCTCTGATACCATGTTGGGCTGAGATAGCCCCTTAGGATCTTTTCAAGGGAGAACTCTGGGTAGGGTAAAGTTGTAATAGCGGAAGCTTAATGAGAAGATTGTGAACCACCTTGCGCTAGTATGTGAGGGCAAAGTAGATTGATTATAGTAAGAAAGTACAAGATTAGATAATAATGCAAGGAATATGAAAGGATACAGTTATAACTACTTTTACTGTTGCTGTTGCGGTTCGATACAGTACGACTCGGGCAACTGCTCTGTAACGAGTCAGTTGTGTGTCCTTAACTGTCGTGCTGTACTTGTCAGGTCAAAGGTCGCTTGACCTTTGACTTTCGCGTAACCTCCAGCAACCTCTCAACCTCCGAGGGTTGACTCGTGCTTGTTTCGGTATTATTTTCTTCACTTCTGGTGCGATGTTTCGACACGACTGAAGCGCTTAAGTTTCACTGTTTCCAACACTTACCAGGCGTTCTAGTCGACAATTTATTTAGCTGTGGAAAGAAGATGGTCGTCCTAAAGGGACAGCTGTGATGTGGAGTTACGGTAATTTTTCCAGTGGCACAGGAGCGGACTCTGCTTGCAGACACGGCGAGTGCCGTTTGCGGAGATTTCTATCTAATGGGAGAGTAGGGGAGCTAGGGGCCACGTGGGTAGAACTCAGGTTGTTGCTCTTGACATAGTTGTTGTTGACTTAGTAGAATCCAAGCATAGGTTTCACTAAGAAAAAGAGTTGAACAAGAAGAACATGTTACAAAAAAAGGATCCTTGCAGAAATGCTCCAAGAGGAACGTTTAACTATCATGCATGTGCTACGCCAACTCTACAATGGCATGTGAAAAAACAGCCCATTTTTTTTCCACCTAACTTGGTAGTTGCCCAGGTTGTCCGTGCATAGTTGTGTACGTTTTTGTGGTCACGAAAACGTGTAGCAGGTTCTCTTTCTATTGCTGGTTCAATTTCTCCTGGTAGGTACAATTTCCGCCGAAAATTGATTGGTCAAAATCCCCTGTGCTCCCATTGGTCGAAATTCGCGCACATTGAATTTCTCGCGAAATTCAATTGTGCACTCGCGAGGGTGCGCAGGGGTTGCCGCAACCCTGCGCAAATGAACTTCCGCAAACCCTTGCACCAGCTGCGCCCTCTGCACCTGCGCACGAGGTGTTGCTGCTGCATTCGTGGACACCACAGTACCTCGTGCACAGGTACCTCCATATATCCTGTGCACAGGTACGGTTTCCATCCCGTGCGGACTCCTTAGTACAGCCGCTGCGGAAGCCACATATTTCGCCCGTGCACATGCTGGGCTTTTCTCAACACCGTCACTGTAGTAATCGAGCTGGTATATGCAGAGCACGCGATCCAATTTGCTCTGCAGGAACAAGTTCTTCATGTCAAACTGCATCAGGTGCAGGTCGATGACAGCAACGATGCTAAAGGAAATTCGTAGCGTCACATCATGTGACTCACATAGCTCCCCACCGGCGTATGTCTCGTCATAGTCGGCGTCGTACACCTACTGTCAGAATGTGATGTTTGTCTAGCCTGCAGTGGGGTACTCTATAGCGAGTATAGCCCAAGTAAGGGTTTGCTATATGTACTCAACTGCCTGCTAGTGAAAACCTCTCTCTTTCCTGTTTCTCATTGCTGCCTAGGCTTCCTGACACCTATGTGAATCCATTTACGACCTGCACCTCAGTAATACGGTAATGTAGTGTTCAAAACACAAAACAGAAGAATGTCGTGTGATAAAACCCGAGTGACCCTCCATCTCCCCCCCACCCCGTCCCCCCCAATTTCTTTTTAGGAATTTAGCATAAGACCCTAAGGTCTTATATCCAGGGGAATACGGTACATTATAAACAGCAATTACCACTCAACTTGCCAAGGATATAGAAAATGCACTATCCTCACAACCCTAAAACCACAAAGACGATAGCTCACCAACAATTCTACAAACCTCATTTCATTCCAATAAATCGGAATCTATTCATTATGTGCCACTCTAATGCCCCCTGCTGGGCTTCAAATGCAGCCACGTCCTGACGCCATCAACCATCGAGCTAATGCTCATGGATGAGATCGCACTAGGTTGTGAGCTAGAAGACCCCTGCGATTCCTTTCCACTGCCTCCATATGACTCAGACGGAATATCCCTTGACGACACACCTCCACTGCTTGCACTTTCTTCTTCCCTGATGCTCTCCCATTCGTCCTCCTTTTCCGGGCAATGCCTTTCAATTAGGGAATTGAGGCGGTATGCCACGTCCTTCATGCTAGGACGCAGTGTGCCTGGAGACTTCATGCAGTCCAGAGCCAGGTCTGCAAATTCAACTATGGCCTCCTCCGTAACCATTGGCATCTTGCTGTCCTTCAGCTCATCCAGTTGAAATGCCTCCATCTTCTTTCTTGCCTGGGGGATACCAAGGCAAAGAAGGATAGAGGTGTTACAAAGGAGCATGATAATGGGCAACAGCGATGGAAGGCAGCATGAATTTAAAAATTTGATACTTGCAAGCGTGCAATAGCAAGCGCAGGACAGATCTGACAGGGATGGCCATACCCAGTCTCTGATATGAGATTGTTTGGAAGAACGAGGTGACTTCCCACAGAGCAACTCAAGAAGCACGATGCCAAAGCTGCAAGAATCCACGAAATTGGCTCAAAATCAGAATGCACAGTACATATAACTCAATAAAAGACCGTAATCAAGGAATATCAAGTCTCAGAATTTGTTCATATCCATTCTGCTGTACAAAAGAACAAGCATGCGGACCTGTAGACATCACTCCTGGCAGTGATGACGTTGGTGCGGTTGTAATCCGGGTCCACATAGCCTGGAGTGCCGGCCACTCGGGTGGCATCAGAATCACCATGAGTGAGGAGCTTGAGCAGCCCAAAGTCAGCCACCTTGGCTTGCATGTCGGCAGTCACAAGGATGTTGGCCGGCTTGATGTCGCGGTGAACGATGGGTGTTTCAAACCCATGCAGGTATGCCAGGCCCTCTGCTGCTCCCTGTGCTAAGCGCAGCCTCTGGCGCAGTGAGAGGTTCTGGAGGGGAGATCATCAAAGCCAAGCATAACGCATGTTAGCATAATGAACCATGTAATGGGAGAAGTAATAAGCCTCGTTTCTAGCATGAGTCAGCTGAGCTTTTGTGGGCTTTTTCCCGACAAATTACTCGTCATTTTGGACGAGTTTTAATCATACTCGGCCTAGCTTTAAAAAATATCGTCCATTGTCGACCATAGATGTCCTTGTTTAGAGTTAATTGCTGAAAAAAAATCTGGTTCCTCATTTCCCCTAAATCCTCCTTCAGTACCATATGTTGTTGGAATCCTCTTGTACGCTCAGCGTTGTCGAAAAGAACTTGCCAAGCTGGAAAAAGAACTTGTTTTGCTGGAAAGTCGAAACAGACTAGAAAAAAAAAAATGGATAGTAAATCTCGATTCGCCTCGGCTGAGCGTTTTCCGGCGAACTCAAAACTGACAACTCATCCCCCAAAGAGTTCTGTGACACAAGCGAGTTCAAAATTCGCCTCGTTGTTCATGTATACATGTCATGTTCTCAGGTAGACAGCAACAGCCTGTGAAGTGATCGCAACTCACTCTTCGTTTTGTAGATGTGGTATTCCATGTCCCTGTTGCCCACAAACTCGTACACCAGGATCTGCTCCTGCTTGCCCGTCTCCACGTTCTGGTCCAGACAGAAGCCCAGCAGGCGAACGAGATGCGAGTGGTGGAGAGACGCCATGGCTCGCACCTGCAGGCAAAAACACAGTACACTGAAGCTGTAGGTTTGGATCCATTATAAACGGATGGAAGAGACCATGAGGTTTCCGTCGCCTCTGCCTCTGCCACGAACGCACGAACATGGATGCTTATCACTGAATCCACAGGATTCTATCCGATACAAAAGATGGAAGGTAACACGTGTTTCCTTCTCATATGTGGAAGAGGCAGCTAAAACTGAAGTTGGCTTCACCTCAATTTCAAAGTCATTGGTCATGACTGAGGATCGCTTGATGGCCCAGAGCTGGCCGTGTGGCGAGTGGCCTTTGTAGACAATGCCAAAGCCACCCTTGCCCAGCACATTGTCGTCCGACCAGTTGTTGGTGGTCTTCACCATCTGCTGCAGCGAGAACTGCTCACACACATCCAGCCCCTCCCACTTCTCTGCGCACATGCAAAGCCAGACAAGAAGAATGGGCAGGGAAAGGTGACAACAGCATGCATGGTGACAGAACAGGGGAAAAAAGGAGGAGGCTGCAAAATAGGTGCAGCTATGAATGACATGGAATGGAACAAGGGTTGAGAAACTCACTTCGTCCGCGGGGCCACAGCAGCCATGCAACCACCCCAGCGAGCAGAGTGAAGCCAGCAAAGCAGCCCACAGAAATGCCCACAATGGCGCCCGTGGACAGAGAGGAGACTGCCGAGGAAGGGGAACGAGCGAACAAGGAGGTAGGGGTTGGGAGGGTCGGAAGGTTGGGAGGGAGGTGAAGGTGAAGGAGGGGAAGGGGGGAAGGAGGAGGGTTGGTGAGGGACTAGGGGAGGGGGTTTAGGAAGTGAGGATACGGGGAATGAGGGAGGTGAGAGGGGAGGGGGGGTTCAGGATTAAGGGGCTGAGGGTTGAGGGCTTAGAGGGGAAAGGCGAATGATGAGTGTCACAAGGGGAGTGCTGTGTTCTGAATAAGAATAACTGCATGAAATGTGTGGCCACACAACACCATCTCCAAGTGGGACAGTTCGTTTAAGAAGGGCTCACCAGTGGTGGTGGTAGAGTTGACGATGGCACACGTGGATCCATTGCCTGAGTCAAGGGTGGAATAACCTTCATGACAGACACAGGTGAAGTTGGAGGGGGAGGAGGGGGCAGGCGGCACACACTCCCCATGGCCGTCACACGGGCCGTTGTCCGTGATGCTGCAGAACGCCTGGCAGGCTGCCGTGCTGCGCTGGGTGGCGTTGGAAGGGCAATCCGCCTCTGGGGTGAGCGTCAGGCAGTTGCCCGACAGACTCACCCTCGCCTCCTTGCCTGCGCCAACAATCCCGTAATCTCGCATGCTACTGCCTACAGCGCCGCTGCACTTGCCGGCGTGCACACCAAGGAGGTCCCCCAGGTCCAGCACGTTGGGCTCGGTGATGTCAACGGGGCAGACCTGGCAGCCGGCAGCAAAGAGCACGGCATCGCCAAAGAAGAAGTTGTGAGCCAAGTTGATGAGGGCACCGTCGTCCAGCACCATGTTCTTGAAGTTGCGGTTGATGCGCCCGTACAGGCTGTTCCCGCTCACATCGCAGACAGAGTGGCTATTGGTGTTGGGATGCCGTCTCATAACGCACCCATATAATCTATCATTGTGAACTCATACCTCTAGCCACTTTTTGGTGACCTACATTGAGGGTGCGAGCTGCTTGCAAAGCTGCTGCGTGGGCTCACATTTGGTTGACACACTTGTCAAAGAGGCAGTCTGGCAGGGGCCCATAGAGGTAGTGGTTGCTCATCATGCTGCCAGCAGCATAACACACACCAAGCCACAGCTTTAGTCACGCCCATACCAAACAGCATAGGCACGAAGATGAGGCCATTGCAATTTCGAAACATAGCAGCAATAGGTAAGCGATCCTGCTTCACCTAGCACTATTCTACAGGTGCAAAATGGATGCAAATCCTGCTTTAAATTAGTCTCTGAAAATGGCATTAAAATTTAACCCGTGTATGACATACACTCGAATACCCTAAAACCTACATCCTAGATACACCACAGTCCCTCACATGCGCCACAGCAAGGGAAGCGAGCACAGACTAGTTGGCAGATGGCCCTCGATGTTGTTGTTGTCTAGCCAGCTGTGGGAAGTGCAAAAGTAGGTGCAGGAGGCACAATAGTGCCAAAGGTGGCACAATGAACAGGTTGGAGAGATTCTTTTATTTTCTACATTGGTGTTCTAATAACCATGATGTGCTATGCAGGCAATATTTTCCCAGCCTGCCAAGCGTAACTTGGAAAACAGTTAGCAGCCTCACATCTGTTCGAGCTTCTGCAGTCGACTGATGGCATCTGGCAGACTGCCACTCAGACGGTTGTTGGCCATGTAGCTGGAGGGCAATGGCAGGGAGACGATATGTTGCAGTGAAGAGATGCACATGCAAGAGCAGTGAGCGGTGGTACAGGAAAGAGTCACGGGACAGTGGCTCGAAGACTTGATGGATGCTTGGAACTTACAGGTATCTCAGATTCGTCATGCTGAAGACAGCGGAGGGGATAGTGCCGGTCAGTTGATTGTTGTTGAGTGTGCTGCAGGGGCATTGGAGAAGAAGTTCACATGGAACAGCTACTAATGCTAGCAAAGTTTAAAAGATGATATTGCAACTCAACAGCCGGCTTTGATTGGATTCCCAATAGAATAAAGGCATGCTGCAAGGCAAAAAAACTTACATAACTTCGAGGGTGGTGAGGGTGGAGATGGAATCTGGAATAGACCCTGTGAAGTTGTTGCCGCTGAGAGCTCTGACAGCAGAAACACAGCACAAGGAGACATGAGTAGGGTGAATGCAGCTGCAGACTGCTGATCATGGGTTCAATGCGGATAGCTGCACCCTGCTGACTGCTGATCATGGGTCTAATGAGGATGGCTTCAATGCATGCAAATGGACGTCACGAAGCGTAACGTGTGTGGAATATACATGAGTCTAGTTTTGACTCCACTCACACAATTTGTCGCTAGAACTCGAGTCACAGTTTCAAAGAGCTTCATTCCGAAATCACCACAAGAACTTGAGTCTCAGGTTCGGCTGAGTTGATAATTGACTCAGCTGGAACCCAGTTTGACTCAGATAGAACTGAGCCCAAGTAGACTCAACTTGCCTCTTGCTCATGACGAGTTGGCAAGGAAAGAGAAATTGAGCATGGGAAACTGCAAGGTATGGGATGGCTTACATCTGTAGGCAGCTGACGTTCCAACGTGAGAAGTCAGGTAAAGGGCCCCTGAATCCATTCCCTGCCAGGTTGCTGCACATTGCAAGAGCAGCAATTGAGATTCCAGGAGTATGAAAGTAGCCAATGAAATTCCCTCAATCACAAAGAAGTACCACCACATACATTGGTGGTGGCACCACACAGAGGTTGCACCACACAGAGGTTGCACTTCTTACAGTGTAACAAGAGAAGGAGGAGCACTGAGAGTATATGGAAGGCCTCCAGTAAGGAAATTGTTGGCTACTTCCCTGTGTTGCTACACGGGGGGAAATTCAGGGATGGAGCGGTTACATTCAGGTGTTAGGAGTGCATGTAACCCTCCAAAGAGCGTGCATGCATGGTGTGTCATTAACAGACAACAGGCTTGGAACGGCAATGGGGAATTGAAGACCTGAAGCAACCTGCGGGAAAGGAACTTTGTTGGAACTGGTAGAAACTGGCGAAGTACCATTTGAAAGAAGTTTGTCAAATCAGAAGTGATTGTATTCATACATGGCCATTCATTGTTGGGCCGTGGCAAGGTGCTGATAGATTTTTTTTGTTTCGGAAACAAAACATGCAATGGAGCCGTGGAGCTACTTACAGTGAGGACAGCATGGAGAGCTGAAACACGCCGGATGGGATAGTTCCACGGAGTTTGTTGTCATTGAGACCACTGGAAAAATATTGGCAAGCGTCTCAAAGTGATTGATTTGATCTCACAATCCCATACAAACTGCTACAGCGTGCACAAACTAAAGGCTCCTGGACCCCAAACTAGTGCTCCGATTAAAAATTTGTATGTCATTCATGTCCTGCCCATTCAAAGTCCCAACTGGTGGACCGGGCAGCATCGACGCTCACATGGCCTGCAAGTTGACAAGGTTGGTCAGTTCCTGAGGGATCCTCCCAGTGAAACTGTTGTTCCTCAATTCCCTGCCATTGCCGTTCCAGGTGCAACATTAGTTGTCTAGATGGATGTTTCATTCAAGGACACTGCTGAAAGAAAGATGCATCCCAATTTGATGAAAGGAGTGGATGCTTTTGTGCAACCACGAGTGAATGCCTTACAGGTATGCGAGGCTCTCAAGCTGCAGAATCCAATCGGGGAAGGTTCCAGTGAAGTGGTTGCTATCGATAATCCTGAAGAATGACAAAGATGCATGTGGTGGGGAGAGGATGAACACACATGCATGCAGGAGTATGGGAAAGCCAGGTGCTCGTGTACAGACCACTACAACGACGTGAATAAACATGTAGTAAATACGCATTAACAGTGATCTGGTCATTCAGGCGCCCTTAGCAAAATGAAGCTGGCCTCGTTATCATTTAGGTGCCCTTAGCAAACCACCCAGGCAGGTAGGTGTAAAGAAAGGGTGGTGAACAGATAAGGTGAGACATGGGTAAAATGGACTCACAGGGCTGAGAGGCCCTTGATTGCTGCCAAGGACGCTGGAAGCACACCAGAGAAGTTGTTGGCATTGAGGTATCTGCAACGCCAGTGAGATCTCAAGTAAGTAGCTCAGTTACTGCAGGCAGGAAAAGGAAAACGGAAGGCAAAGGAGACAATGTGAGAGAAAAAGGCAGGATCATGAGGCGACGAAGGTAGAGTCCTCACATGTCTGTGAGCCATGTCATCTGAGCGACCACGTGAAAGCCTGAGGTAAGATTGTTCTTGGCAATGTCTCTGATGAGTTGTGCAGTGCAGACACACGGACACACGCATTAGATCACAAGGCTGGGAACGCAGTAACTTGTTAAGAAAAGTACAGCAAGGAACAACCAGTAGCTTGTGATGCTTTGCAGGAAACACTGAACTTCAGTCATTCTCCTAGCTATCAGCATAGTTCCTTGCCGTGGGTACAGGAAAACTAAAGAGACAGGCCGCGGTCTGGGAAGGAGAGACGTACAGAGAACTCATGCCTGTAAGCCGAGTGAAGGTGTTGGGGATGCCTCCTGTGAACAGGTTGTTGGATAATTGACTGCAACCAGGATAGGCCAATAGGAAACATTGCACATAGCGGTGTGGAAAGGGATCTAGGCACAGGAATCGATAGATGGGGCTAGGCAGAAAGTGGAGATAGAAGGGGGCCCAGTAGGACTGGAAGTTCGAAGAGGTTTGTGTAAAAGATGGGCAAACATAGCGGGTCTCACAGATCAACGAGGCTGGGAATTGCCAGGTGTGGTGGGATGGGTCCACTGAAAGTATTGTGGTGAAGTAATCTGGATAGGCAGGCAGAACGGGTGAGGTACTGACTCATTTCAACATTCTCTGTGACCAAAGGTAACCTGCAAAAGGTGTGATGATGACTTTAGATGGACAAAGCACTTCACGTTGGAATACAGGATAGCGAGGGATTGGGCAGAGTGGTGTGAACGGATAGAGTAAGTAGAGAAGAGAAGAGGAAGGATAAGGAGGGATGGGAAGTTCAGGACGAAGTAGAAAGGATGGAAAACGGAACTGGGAGGGGTGAAGGCAAGGTTTAAAATTACGGTTTTCGTAAAATACGGTCCGTTTTTTACGGTCGTTTTTTACGGTGATTTTTCAAAAATACGGCCGTTTTTTTGTTAGAGAACTCTGTTCACCAAGGAAAAAAAGAGAAAAACAAGGTCAAAAACATTTTCAATCATGCCAACAAGTGCATACATGCAAAAGGGGGTCCGTCCCCTTCATGCTGCTCCTTTTCGGGTTCAATTTGGTCCCACTAGGTGACCGTTTAGTTAGTTAAACAGGAAACACCTCCTGGAACCGTTTTAAACCGTTTTTTACGACCGTTTTTTACGATACCGTTTTTTACGGTAAATTTTCAAAAAAACGGTCGTTTTTTTGAACCCTGGGTGAAGGGAAGATGGGCAAAGAGACGAAATAAATGAGCTATAATTATCATAAGGCAGCAGAAGAGATAGTGCGGAAAGTGGGGTTTTGGGGGTAGAGGGGTGGGGGGGGAGAGGGGGGGAGGGGGGTCGGGGGGTGGGGGGTGTGGAAGGAAGGGTGGGTGGGGGGGAGTATGTTGGTATGGGTAGAAAAAAGCAGATGCGTGTGGAATCACAGAATCACTTGGGGGCGATCATATCAGATGTGAATACCACCACGCAGTTTAGATTGTAAATCGTATGAGGCAGATATGAGGAACTCACTAATGCGGCATCAGGCTGGAGGGACTCAGCCATTCATCCATGAGCCAGAACCATTACAGTGTGGGATGCCAAGGGTGCAATGCAAACTAGTGAACCATGTCCCCATTTCAAAGAGCACGGTTCCTGAAGGCATACAAGCACCTTGGCATTGGCAGTCAACAGACGCGAGAGTAGCTTGCCCTTTTACAGCGGTTGGTGGACCTTCAATTTGACAGGACGACAAAAAAGGAAAGACCAACCAGGCCAAAGCGAACAAGCGCAGAGAGAAGAGTCACGTACAGTGTTTGGATGTTGGCTCCGAATGCTCGGGGTATCGGAGCAGAAAGAGAGTTCCACGAAAGGTCTCTGCATTGGCACGTGGAGGAACGAATGTTGATGCAATTAATGAGGACAAGGCGAGGAAATCAGGCAGGGCCAGGGTGGAGTTCACACGAGGGAAAGTAGGGAGCACACAAGCGGCTTACATTAGAGATAGGGCTGTTAGGGCCGAGAATGTTGCTGGAATGGTTCCTTGAAGGCGGTTTTCCCTTAAATACCTGAAGTTAAGCGGGCGCAAGAACGAAACAGAACAAGCCTACCGTATTAAAGATGCATGCAAGTGCTGTTGATGCTGCTGCCAGTGGCACGGAAGCAGGCATGATACCATGGTACAATCGCTGCATGACAGAATGGCAGGATGGATGGTAGTATGGCGAGAACTGAGCTGCGGCTTACAGCTCCTGCAGATTGACCAGAGTGGACCAGCCCTTGGGCAGGTAGCCCTCCAGGTTGTTTCCTTTGATGGATCTGCACAGCACGCGAGCAAGCAACGGATGGACACCTGCTTTTCAGTTGATGGTGAAAGTTGGGCACGACTTGCAAGTGTGTTTCTAGCCCAGAGGAGGCAATGCAGCAAGAAAATGGATATGGTGCATGAATACATGTGATGTGAATACATAAGTGTTTCATGGAAACGTGAAAACCAGCCGAACGTAACTGTGCAATTTTCCTTGGTACACACCCACACCCACTAAGCTCACAGGGTGGTGAGTGCTGTGAGCTCAGACATTTCGTCCTTCAACAGCCCCTGCCGGCGTGGATCGTCCATATCCACATTCCTGCGCACAAGGAAAGGCCGGCAAGACTCTTTGCACTGAGACAATTCCGGTCGCTGTGATATATCCGTGTCTTGTGGAGGATGTAGTGTGTGGCGACCATAGAGAACGAAAAAGCAGGAGCAGCTTACAGATACTGAAGGTTGGAGAGGTGGGTGACCCAATCAGGGAACTCGACAGCACGGAGGTAGGATAGGTCCCTGCAAGGAGGATGGCAAGAGCATGTCACATTGAGAGCAATTATGATTGCGGGTCCCGAAAGTACGTAAACAGTTTCGGGACCCGGTTTTACGTAAAACAGCACGTACAGCTGCGCGATACACACATGTTCCAGGTACGTACACTCCAAACCTGATATATTCCGACTTCCAAAAAACTGACAAAGACTCGCGGATCTACAGTGTGAAACATGTTTTCCAGATCTCGGCTTGTTACCAAGTACTCATTGCCGCACGGGCAATGCGACAGCAGGGTGAGTTCGCCCACAAGCAATGCGACAGCAGGGTGAGTTCGCCCACAAGCAATGCGACAGCAGGGTGAGTTCGCCCACAAGCAATGCGACAGCAGGGTGAGTTCGCCCACTGGCAATGTGGCGAATGTGGTTCTTTTTGCTGCCAGCTCTGTTTGTTTCAGGGACGTCAGATGCTGTATCTCGAGCTGTCTGTGCTGTACGCAACCCAACTTGGGCAGCGCGTCAGAAATTGTTGAACGGTGTAGCGCCGTGTCCAGACGAAGGGATTGGCGAGTGGCGAAAAGCCAGATTGTGGTTACTTTTTTCCTTATGAAATGTATTTGTACTTTCGGGACCCGCCCTGAGAGTTGCGGTCATGTTGGGCGAGGGGTTAGAGGCACTTACTACTGAAGACAAGAAGCAGAGCTTCATGTGTCCTGTCTTGGAACATGAGTGCAGCTTACAGTGCAGTGAGGGCTGTCAAGAATCGAATCTCTCTGGGTATTTCCCCTGTGGCATTGGTGAGCGAAATAATGTTCCTGCGTTCATGCACGCGCAATCAGCAAGGTTCAAGCACATGACAATTGCGAGTTAACAAAGAACATGACATGAAGATTACAAAAGCAAACATGATGAAATAATACGAGAACCATGTGCACTGTACTGATGCTTACAGCTGTTGAAGGTTTCTCAGATGAGAAAGAATGTGCAGGGAGGACAAGTCCCCTGTGAATGCAGCCAAGTACTCTAGACCCCTGGTGGTGGGAGGGCAGCGATGCATGTGAAGAGGCCATGATGATTGTAAGGTACGAGCATGAGTCTTCTCCATGGGTTTCTGGAGTGGCACGCATGGCTGAAAAATATTGCTTTATGCAAACCACATGTGGGGCATACAGTGTTTGCAGGTTGGTGAGGGAGGAGAGCCAAGCCAGTCCGTCCAGAGTGCCTGTCAGCCTGCTGCCATCCACTCCAATCGCTCTGAGTGCACACGTGGCATGTGAGCAGCAAATAACACACATGCAAAGTGCACGTGGAACATTCAGTGGGCATAGGAGACTCGGGGTACAGGGTTTAGGGACAATGAGAATCACTATGTGTAATCAGGTACAACAGCAGGAGTACGGCCGAATGGTTGCAAAAGGTGTGATAAAAGGGAGATGGCAGGAAATAAAGAACCACGTAGAAGGGAGGGTTGAGAGCTCTGATTTCTCGCTGGGAACAAGGATCGAGCTTAAAAGAGAAGGATCAATGGGTCCAAGGAGTGAATGAGGGTGGTGGATGGGGGCATATTGGATGAACCTTGTCCAGCAGTGAACAGCTCTGGTTCGGAAGCATAAGCAGCACATACAAGTAGGTGAGGCCGGTGAGACTGGCGAGGGATGGAATGGGCCCCACAAAGTCAATGTAGGTCAGATCGCTGTGGGGGTGGGAGGACAGGACGAACAATAGAGTAGGCAACGGAAAGATATGATCTACCCTTGAGATGTATGGCCTAGTAACGGTCGCAGTAAAGGAGTAAGAGGTGAGGATGATTACCTGTCACAATAAAGGAGTAAGAGGTGAGGATGATTACCTGTCACAATAAAGGAGTAAGAGGTGAGGATGATTACCTGTCACAATAAAGGAGTAAGAGGTGAGGATGATTACCTGTCACAATAAAGGAGTAAGAGGTGAGGATGATTACTTGTCACAATAAAGGAGTAAGAGGTGAGGATGATTACTTGTCACAATAAAGGAGTAAGAGGTGAGGATGATTACTTGTCACAACAAAGGAGTAAGAGGTGAGGATGATAACTTGTCACAATAAAGGAGTAAGAGGTGAGGATGAACACTTGTCACAATAAAGGAGTAAGAGGTGAGGATGATTACTTGTCACAACAAAGGAGTAAGAGGACGGAGAGGGATAAGATAGAAGGACGGAGCGTGACAACGTTGGGGCAGGGCAGGGGTGAGGCATGGAAGAGTGCGAAAGCACGAGAGAATGGACCATTTGGGCCCGGCGAACGAGGTAATACATGGTGCACGTAAGATGAAAGTAATGGAAGGAGAAAGGGTGGGGGCGTGGTGACGCACAGATATTGCAGAGTGGCGAGAGTAGTGATGGAGGCAGGTATGGCGCCACTGGGGAGGGGATCCGCATCAGAAAATAGCTTTGCATCCCTGCCAAGGCAACCATGCATGCACGCAATGCAGCATCCAATCCATTCGATCCATCCCACCATCCCACTTCCACCACCCCTCCCCTTCCCCGTCCAGAAACCGACTCCCTCCATCTCTCCCTCACATACTCAAAATCCAGCCCACTCGGACATGGTACAGGATGATTGTGTGAGCTGAAGCAAATAGAGGTTACACAGTGATGAATGTGAGGTCGATGAGAGCACGGAAGGGTGACAAAAGGGCAAAGGAGAGGGGTTAGTGGCAACGGGGGGGGGAAGTAGGGGCAACGGGGGGGGAGGAGAGGAGGGAGATAGGGTCAACGAGAACACCAAGCGAGAAATGATGACAAGGAGGGCAACGAGGGCAATTAGAGAAACGAAGGCAATGAGAGCAATGAGGGCAAAGAGGAGAGCAATGAGGGCAGTGAGGGCAATGAGGACAGTGAGGGACGGCAATGGGACGCACAGGCCGGTGACGAGCCCGTTGGGGCTGCAGGTGACGCCAGTCCATGCAGAGCACGCAGTGGTGGCGTTGCTGTTGCCCGCCCACATGCCCCACGCCTCCTTCAGCTGCACCAGCGCCTTCACTGCCGGCACAGGCGGGGGAAGAAGCATATTCGAGTCATTGGCGGCACCTCAGGGCCTTATGTGTGCTTCGATATCTCTACTCCGTGAGAACCGGAGGTACTTAGTTGGGAAGGATGTCGCGAACAGGGAGCCCCAACAAACTCACATTGCGAGCCTTCCAAAACGACAGGCCTCGCGCCGGTGCTCGATCCGTCCGCGGCGGTGGCGGCGCCGAGCTTTAAGAGGGAGCGTCGGCCGCGATTGGGTCGAGGGAGGCGAGACAGGAGGGGCTGTTTGCGCACCCGCGACGGCAGGGCATCATCTCGGCGCGGAGGCAGTGCCGCGCGGTTGGCGCTGGAAACGGAGCAAGGTGTGGCAGCAGGGAGCGCGAGGGCCGTGAGGAGGAGGAGAGTTGTGGCATTTGCAGAGAGAGGCCACACAGGGCCAGGGAAAAGAGGCGTGGTTCTGCGCATTATCCGGAATCGTACTAGTAGTGAGGAGGAAAACGCTCTCTTACAAGGCGCCGGAATATAGACTTCGTGCAAACCAAACTCACAAGAGAATCACCTCGAAGCTAGTGTTGATCGTTCTGCATGAGAGTGTTGTTGTGGTGGTGATAGTGCGACTGTCTGCTGGGATGGGGGGAACAGATAAGAGCGTCGCCATCCCTCTACAGTACAAGTCGACATGTCAAACTTTCGGATCGAGATATCCGACCGCAGTACTGTCGACATTCCTCGACGCCGGACACGCTCTAAGCGCAAATACTGACCTCTTGCCATGTGAAGAGCGAGCTATGTCACTTCAGGTCAGTCGCAGCAAAAATTCTTGGACGACGCGGCAAAGGTGATGTGCCACAACGGTGAGCAGTGCGGTCTGTGCTGGCAGAGTCCACCCCAGCAGTGAAGTGACACCATTGGAGCTCCCCACGGTTATTCTCTGTAGGGGAACCTCAAGTCGTACTATTCCATTGCTCGCGCTAGCGAAATCATGCTGAGTCATACACCACTGGCAACGGCGAACCAATGCCAGCCCCGTCTGAGACATGTTCTCTCACACAGGAAAAATGAAAACAGTGAAGGAGCAGAGGGCCCTTGCAATGTTGTCACCGGATAACCTCGCAACTCGCGGCTGGTATAATGACGTTATCTGTGGCTGTCCAACACATTCTTACTTGGGAGGTGACTACACCTGTCCCTCGCTAAGTTCAAATCAGACACCCCGTGATCTGGGGTGTCAGAGATCACTCTTGTCCAACTTATTGTTCAAAATCTGAAAGGGGAACAAGATTTTTTTGTGATCTAGATTTCTTGCCTCTTCCTCGCATGGAGTCATAAAGGCAGGGGTGTTTGCGCTGAATGCGCTCCGCAAAATAGAAAACAAAAATGAAATTTGCGAGTTACATGTGGATGTCGGTTCTATACCAGGGCTGGAGTTTTTTTCGCCAGCTCTGACGTATTGGCTACCAAAAAGAAAATCCCTACAATTGCAAGGTTGGGTAGAAGGTCGCTCGACAAAAGAACAGTTGATCAACTCATCGTTCGTATGACCGCGATATTCAATTCAAAATCTATGCATTATTTGACATTTATGTGCAAAGTGTGTGTTGCTGCACGTTGAGTTGCTTTCGTATAGATCTCTACTTACGCGGAGTGATTCAGATAATGATACTCATGTTTTTCTACTAAATTTTTATATGTACATATATCAAAATTGAAAGAGTATGGAACAACTGCAAACAGATGAAAAGCTTTTCAGCAAGGTTTGTGAAGTTAGCTTGTGATGGCGGACAGGGGTCAATGTTGGGAGGTTGAGTCTATCTTTTCTATTTTAGCGGCCAGAAGGCCTCCAGGCCTACGTAGTTCAATTCGTAATTTTCGAAAAGTACCCTTTCTCAAATTCCACACTCTCATCTATCACATAATAATGAGCGAACTAATAGCTGACCAACCACTAATAAAAATATGAAAGAAGTACTCAAGATGGGCATTTCTATGCATTCAGGTGCCCAATGAATGTCAAACGATCGAGCGATACTTAGCAACTGCCCACAAATGTGTGGGCAACTGATTCTAGCATGGTTTTTCTCGTACACTCTAGCGCATATGGATCTCTTCATTTCGAGGCCTTCTCGAAACAAAATTTGAGTCTCATACGAAAACACCCCGAATGTTGACAAAATTCTAGACGTGTGCACCCTGCAATAAACCATGTCGACGTTGCTCTGAAGAACAAAAGCCTTTTCTGTGCAGGATGCTGCGTGGGCCTCAGGGCATAAAGGGGTTGGCTAGACTTAGTTAGGCTTCTATTGTTGATGAAATAGGATCTGTTGTCTGGTGCACAAATGTGGGCGACTGGCTGCGATTCGTATTCGAGAGAGGTTGCATGGTGACTTCTACAAGGCCAATGACTTGAGTCAAGATTTCAAAGGCCGACGAAGCGCCCTCCGCAAAGGTCGAACTCGCTAATGGGATTAAGATGACGGGCGGCGAGTTTCCTGGTTAGCGGACAACAAATCATCAGATGGGCATCCCTTATTGACAAAAGTAAAAGCAGACGAGGCAAGTCGAGGATGGCAATGATGAAGAGGAAGATCCTCGTGTGGCATAGCTTGTGTGAGAGTACAACGCGTGTTCTTGCTTGAACTTACTTATTCTTGCTTTCTACTAGATTTTCTTGCTTATGTCTGTCAACGGGAGTTGTGTTTGGCCCCGTCCTCGCTTGGGCGGAGCCGACCTCGTGGTCGGGTGCGCGGGAGATGCAGCCGACCTGCAGCAGTGGGCACGGGGGCCACTGCATGGGCGCCGAGCAGGTGGACGCCGTCCTTAGTGTCTGGGCGGCGTCCTGGGCATCTGCACGGCGTCCTAAGAGGCTGGACGCCGAGCTGGGCGTCTGCTCGGCGTCCTGTGCGCCTGGACGCCGACCGGGGCGTCTGCTCGGCGTCCTGGGCGCCTGGACGCAGTCCTAGGCGTCTTCTCGGCGTCCTGGGCGCCTGGACGCGAACTGGAGCCTCTGCTAGCCGTCCTGGGAAGTGGGACGCCGACCTGGAGGTCTGCTCGGCGTCCCGGGCGCCTGGACGCCGACTTGGGCGCCTGGACGGCGTCCTGGGCGAGTGGACGCCGTCCTGGACGCCAGGACGCCGACCTGGGGACGCCGGGCTTGGTGTAGCCGGCGTCAGGCAGGGCTGGACGACCAGGCAGGGTTGCCCGGTCGACCGGGATACCCGGGCGACATGTGCGAGCGTCGCCGGGGTGGAGTCTGCGAGGCCGACCTCGGGGGTGGTATCCCGAGGTCGACGTGGCTGGTGGGCGCAGTCACTGGCGTGGACCTGATCTAGGCGTCTGCGCTGTGCTCGTGACCAGGCGTGGAGCACCAACCAGCTGCGCGCACCTGCGAAGCAGGTGCACCGTTGTCCTGCGGGTGCAACGCTGTGCAGCCGACTTGCTGCAGCGTTGGCCCGCCACGGACATGCAACGTTGGCGCGCCGCATCTCTGCAACGCTGGAGCGGTGCGAGCATTGCTGCGCTGGAACGCGGTCGACCGTGCTGCGCTGGAGGTCGACCAGCAGCTGTGCTAGCTCTGATGTAGTGATGCATGCCAATGTTGTTGCTATCATTCTGAACTATCATTGTGATGTTTTCCTAGTGGAACTCTTGCCAATTCTCCCCGTGAACTAGCAAGTAGTGTGCGCACAAGGAAACGACTAAGGAACGAACGCAGAGCTACCTCTCACGCACGTGCCTTCCCCGTAGTCAAGCTCCCGTTGCTAGAGTTATCTCCGCATGGTGCGGTGAGCGTGGACGACACCGCGAAGGCACCTCTATTTAGCCGACTTTGCACGTCCCGATAGTGTTCGTAGGCCGGCAGCTGTGCGCTAGCCATCATGGTAGTCGGCGTTGGTGACGCTGGGGTGGCGGACACCTTGGAGGCACGGCTAGAGAATGCAAGGAGGAAGCACGAGGCCAACGAGTACGGCGACCTGCCGTGGGCGGTCGTCGAGGCCGGGCTCCGCAGCATGTGGGCGGCGGAGCACCCTTCTCGGCCTGCTTCTCCTCGACCGGTGAACACCGAGGGCGGCGTCGACGTGGGCGTCAACGCCGGGGGAGGCCAGGTCGGCAGCAGTGCGGGAGGCACGTCGAGGCAGAGAGGAGTGATACACGCCGGTGAAGTCGGCGGCGTTCAGGCGCGAGGGATGCAGTCGTCGGCGGCTGCAGGGACCTCGCAGGGCTACGTCGGAGCCCGACGAAGTGGATTGGCGCCGATGTCGGCGTCACACGTGACAGCGGAATGGATAGCGCTGAGCTACGGCTACTTCAAATTTCCGCCGGACAGGATCCAGGTCACCCCCCCGCTGGTCGGTCGACCGGACATTCTCACCTGGAAGGAGGCAATCGAGCCTCAGCTGGAGATGGCCGGGCTGATCGGCTTCGCCCGCGGCACCGTGGCGACGCCGGAGGAGATCTACCCCGACTTGCGTGCGGAGTTTCGCGCCGTGCAGCTGCTGACCTTCATGGTCATCTCACGGTGCTGCTCGCCGGGCGTGCAGATCGCCTTGAAGTGGTGCAGGGAGCACCTTGACGCCGGGCACCAGGCGTGGCACTTCATTGAGACAACATACCAAGTCACCGACGACCTGTACATCGGCCAGCTCGAGGAGCAGCTGTCGCACCTGCGGATGGGCGAGCAGGAGACGGCGACCGACTACTGCAACCGAGCTCGACGCCTTCTCGCCATGATGAGGATGGCCGGCGTGAACTACTCAACAGCGTCGTACGTCACGCATGTGATCAAGGGCCTCACGAGCAGCTACAACCTGCTGAAGCGGCTGTCAGTGGCGCCGAGCACGCGGGCGACGCTCAACGAGGATTCCCTTACCTCGTACATCCTGCAGGATGAGGCGATGCAGGAGGCCGAGAAGTCCACGGAGCTCCTGCTGCAGGCGAACTACGTCGCCCCGGCGAAGCAAGGTAGCCGACCAGGGCAGCGCGGTAAGCCTGGCAGCGGTGGTAGCGGAGGTGGGAAGCTGGCCAAGGACGCTAACAAGGGTAAGTCGGCGAAGGAAGGCGGTCGCGGAGGAGGAAGTCGGCGTCAAGAGTGCTGGATCTGCCACAGCCCCGACCACCTCTCCTTCGAATGTCCCGACCGCAGCGAATCCGACGATGACGACGCCAAGGGAGGCCGTGGGAGGTCGGCCAGCCGTCGTCCACGTCGAGGCAACCAGCCGCGCAAGGAGAAGCAGTCGAACAAGTCGACCTCGGCGAAGGACGCCGACTCCTCTGCTGGCGGCAAAGGGAGCGACGACAAGTCGGCGTCGTGCTCCCTGGTCGGCGTCGTGGAGCCGACCGTTTCACTGGCGCGGAGGCCGGTGAGGATTTCCAGGCGATGGCAGCAGCAGTGCAGGCGAACCCGGCGGTGGTCCTGCTGGACAGCGGCTGCTCCCACCACCTGATGGGGACGAAGGAGGTCTTCGTCGACATGGGGCCGAGCGGCGACGTGAAGCACGTGCGCGGCTTCAATGGGGCGTTGCAGGACGTTCGCGGCCGTGGCACGGTTGCGCTGCAAGGGGAGGCCGGGAAGCGTGTGCTCATCCCCGACGTGCTGTACGTCCTGGGCGTGCACGCGAACCTGCTGTCGTCCGGTCAGCTGAAGGAGAACGGCGTGAAGCTGAAGGAGGACGGGGACGGCGTGCTGCTCGTCTCGGCGACGGGCGACGTGCTTGGTCGCGCAACGTACT